GCTCTCCAAACCTCTCGTATACCAGAGGAGGGAACTCGGACAAGTTAACACTCGTTGTTTGCCCTGTTAGTGACAGTGTTTCAGGGGAGTTGTTGTTCGGTCGCTAAGTCCTGTTAGACTCTTTGTGACCCCACACAAAGCAGCACGCCAGGCTCCTCTGTCCACCACTGTCCCCCGGAGTTTGCTCAAATTCATGTCCATTGAGTCAGTGATGCCACTGAACCATCTCATCCTCTGCGCCCCCTTCTCCTTTTGCCTTTGGTCTTTCCCAGCATCAGGGGCTTCAAAAGAGTCAATGACATAAAATAGCATAGAGGTGTCTAACGTCAGTCAATGCAGTATTCCCTTTCATATGACTTTGAACATGTGGATAAAAATGCAGAATCTTCTGGGCGTGTTTTAATATTTTTCATTGTGTATTTTCCTCAACTTAGTTTCTGCCTAAGGTTTCTTCTGTTGCATGTAAAACTGGATAAAAGGAAATCTCCCTCAGCTGCAGCAAGCTGGTAAATGTAGGGGAAATCTACCTTTTTGAGGCTGCCTGGCTGGCCCCAGGAGCCATGCCCCAGGGCCTGGCATGACAGAGCTTTACCCAGCACGCTCGAGTGAGCCTGGCCCTGGCTGGAGGGATTACGTTTCATCCCGTGTTGAAATCACTTGAAATTCCCCTTGCTCATCCAGATACAGAAATAAAAGCAGCAACTCGTGGTCTTGCTGAGGCAAAATCTTTTTTGTTAGCCAATCCCTTATTCTTTCATTTTCGCATCCATCTGCCAAAATAGACTGATCAAAATAGGATATTTTAAGAACTGCATGCATGTGGATATCTCACACCCGACACGTATTTCATCGAAAGATCAAATTATATTTTTATCGTTTTTATCTGTAGACCTTAGAATTCTATAGAAGCTTCTGAATGAAATGATGACTTTTTAAAATCATTTTAATTTTTTAAAAAATATTTCTTTGGCTGTGCCAGGTGTTAGGTGTGGCACACAGATGCTTTAGTTGCAGCATGTAGAATCTAATTCTAGGACCAGGGGGTCAAAGCCAGGCCCCCTGAGTTTGGAGCTTGGACTCTCAGCCACTGGACCACCAGGGATGTCCCTCATTTTCACCTTTTAAATGTACTGCCATTTGGATGGCTGATTCTTGGGTCTGAGGCTTGAAGCTGAGGCAGGATGAGAGGCAGGAGGCCAAAGCATCCTTTTTTTCAGTGCCCTGGCCGGAACACTCACGCAGACACACACAGATTGATCAGTTGGAGTGACATCCATGTCTTTCTTTTTCCCCCTTTTTCTCTCCACCAATCCCTTTCTCATCCCCCTGCTTCCTGCACTTCTATTTTACCCAAAAGAAAGAGAAGGCGCCCAGCGACGTCAAGAGCTGAGGCTTCACAGACAGAAATCCTTCTAAGCGACTTTTCAGCTGTTTACCGGTCCTGTCCCTCTTTGACCAGCGGTCACAATGATCCATCGGGCTTGAATCCACAGCCACCTGAAACAACTACGAGTCCAGGGATGTGACCTCACACTTTCCATTTGTATTAAAACTCTCACTTCCTTCAAACCTGACTGTCTTAACGTCAATTTTCTTCCAGGCCTGGACTTTCAGTTTGTGCTCATTTTCGAGTCTTTTCCAAATTACCTTCGGAAATCAATGCATGAAGAATTTTCCAACTTTCATCCGTGCAGTTCCTGGACAGATTCAGGAATCTGTCCTCACAGAGAGGGCTGCTCCATAGTGGTGTTTGTTTATTTCTGCTGCGCTGGGTCCTCACTGTGGGGCGAAGGCTTCTCTGGCTGTGGAACGCAGGCTTAGGTGTCTGGCAGCACGTGGGATCCTAATTCCCACGGGCCCAGGGATCAAACCCGTGTCCCCTGCATTGGAAGGTAGATTCTTTACCACCGGACCATCACGGGAGTCCCAGTTCTCTTTACAAAATAGGAGTTAGGGGCTGGGAACTAAATTTGTGCCTTTTCAGACCTTATTAAGTCCGGTGCTCTGTGACAACCTAGAGGGGTGGGCTGGGGTGGGGGGAGGGAGGTTCACGAGGGGGGTGACGTCTGCACACCTGTGGCTGATTCCTGGCAGAAGCCAGCTCAATGCTTTAGAGCAATTAGCCTCCAATTAAAAGTAAATTTGAAAGAGACCTTATTATATGTGGCATTATATATATGTATCGGAGAAGGCACGGGCACCCCACCCCAGTACTCTTGCCTGGAAAATCCCATGGACGGAGGAGCCTGGTGGGCTGTAGTCCATGGGTTCGCCCAGAGTCGGACACAACTGAGCGACTTAGCAGCAGCAACAGCATATATGTGTATGGAATACTGTCAGTCCCTTACTTAGTCTGTTTCTCTATTTCAGATAAGCATGATGCAATGTCTGTGCATTCAGATCCACACGTTTATGTCTTTGTTATTATGCACAAGTGCTCATTTCCCCTTTATCCTTTTCTAAGAAGTCTATCCACATTTCTCTTGGGGCATATTGCAAGTTTCCTGCAGGAGAAAAAGGCACACAGCTCCTAGCATGCTGCCGCAGAATGCCCTCAGAAGACACGCAACTTTTGTAACCTGATCTTTCTACCTCCTCTCATTCAGTAGTTAGTACTTACACCTTTCCTGGGCCCGCTGCCACTTCAAATGTGCGTCTGGTAGATAAAAATTCCTTCAGGTGTGACTCAGCAGAGCTGAAGCCATGTCCCACTGGCGTCTGAAACTCCTACGCGTCTGCCCTGCCACGGCCGCTCAGTATGAACACACAGCAGGGACGTACGTCCCTGGGCGTCTGCTGGCTAAGACTCCACGCTCCTGATGCAGGGGGCCCAGGTTTGACCCCTGGTCGGGGAACGAGATTCCGTAGGCCCCACCTAAAGATCCCGCATGCCACCACGAAGACCAGAGATCCTGGGCACTGCAGAAGACCCAAAGAAGCCAGAAAAATAAATACACTTTAAAAATTGCACAGGGACCTTCCTGTGAGTCCAGTGGTTAGAACTCTGCCTTCCGATGCAGGGAGCGAGGGTTCCATCCCTGGCTGGGGAGCCAAGTAAGAGGCATGCCTCCTGGCCAAAATAACCAAAACTTTAAACAGAAGCAACATTGTAACAAATTCCATTAAGGTTTTAAAAATGCCTTCCCTCCACCCTGCCCCTCACCAGCATACACACACAAAATCTTTTCTAAAAAAATTGTAATGATTGGGGGCCTTGAAGGTGTAATCAGTACTTCTCACAAAGAAATGTCAGTCAGATCATTCTTCATTAAACCAAAAGAGCCTAATATACTGTACAGATAAATCTAAGCACTTCATATTCATAAGCAAGTATTTTATCAAAGTACTGCTCTTGAGCAGAAGAAACCATTTAAACAAGGAGAAGCTTGAATGAAATACTCCTCTGTGCATTCACTGCAAAGTGATACATACCATGACAACGTTACAAACACAGCAATAAACTTCCAGTGGTGACTGGACCCAACTGTGTATTGTCGCCTCCTTTTCTTCTAATAAGGCCACTTCTCCCTGGTTCTTTGCAAGGTTTTTCTGTTTCTCACCGTGCCCCTGAGACACGCTGGATCCCTGCCTCCTCGGGAAGCGCTTTCTGCCCGCCCCTGCCTGCCTTCAGCCGCGTGCCCCGTACACGCAGCTCAGACTGCAGTCCAGTCCCGGTCTGACGCGCACCCGCCTTCCCCGCGCGCCGGAGCCTGGCCCGAGCGCTGTGCACCCTGAGGTCGCGGGGCGCAGACCCATCAGGCAGCCGGGCCCGGCTGACTCGGGGTCCTTTAGGAAGAAAAGAAGGCTCAAGTGAGCAAACCAAAGTGATCTGAGCCCCCAACCCTGAGCGTGCATCCACTGGCACCGTGAAGTGAATGACGCCCGGGAACTTCTGGTACCCCTGCCCTGCTAGCTCATAAGCCGGCCAGTGAGTGGCCTTTCCCTTGAACGCCCGCCTTCAGTTGGTGCTTTTCAGAGTTCCTCTCAAGAACATTAGGCGCAGAGCCGCGCCCTTTGCTGAGACTAGGAAGGCCATGCTGCGTGGCTTCAGAAGCTCTGCATTCCCACCGGGAACGGAGTGGGCCTCACGCCCTCCGCGTGACTGAGGCCAGAGGGCGGCTGGTGCAGGATTTCGACTTTTTCACCCGAGCAGCGTCCTACGCGCCGCTCAGGGAGGTCTGGGCTGTGGGGCCTGTCGCTCACTGCGGTGCTGACCGCAGCGGGCTGAGGCAACCTGGTGGGCGCTGTGCCCAGGCCCACACTCAAGGGCATCAGCGGGCACTTGAAAGCACAGCGCATGCCCGCACAGTGCCAGCTTCCAGAAGCGGGCGGACGGAGCCGAGGCTCTCCACGGCTCGCTTCCTCCCAAGTTCCGGCAGCAAGTGCTAGCGCTGCCTCCACGCCCTCAGGACACAGGCGGGGGCTCTTTTCTCAGCCCCGGGGATAGAGTACACGGACGCACTTTCCAACCCTCCGGGGCAAAGAGGAGCCGTGACAGAGGCCCGTAACCAGGCGTCTGAAGTGCAGGGCACACAGGCTTTAGGATGCGAAACGTCTGGGTCCAAATTCAGGGTGCCATCTGCTAGGCGGGTAACCCTGAACAAGTTGTACCCATTTCTGCGAGCCTGTCTTCTCATCTGCCAAATGGAAATACCACCGCTTCCCTAAGCAGCGCTGTGGGAAATCATGATTCCCATAAACCCCTGGCAGGGCGCTTCATACAGTAGATATTCAACACACGTTAATCACGATCTTTATTATCTGAGAGTTTGAACTGGCGGGAGTCCATGATTTTTAACTCACTATTTCAGTCTTCTCAGAAGAGTCATCCACGACTGGAGTTAAAAAGTCTATTTATCAGCGAGGCTGTGACATGCCTGCAGAAGTTGTCGAGTGGCTAGGAGAGATGAGCGCACCGCGCTGGGGGTGTGTTGCTTCTGCCCGCGTTCGCTTATTGCACGCTGCGCACACACGCGTGCACACCCCCCCCCCGGAATAAACCTGTATGCCCATCATTCCTTTATGGCACACGCACGCGCACACACACCCCCAGAATAAACCTGTATGCCCATCATTACTTTATGGCACACGCACGCGCACACACACCCCCAGAATAAACCTGTACGTCCATCATTCCTTTATGGCACACGTGTGCACATACACACACACGCCCCCAGAATAAACCTGTATGCCCATCATTCCTTTATGGCACACGCGTGCACATACACACACACACCCCCAGAATAAACCTATATATCATTCCTTTATGGCACGCGCGCGCGCGCACACACACACACGCCCCCCCAGGATAAACCTGTACGTCCATCATTCCTTTATGGCACACGCGCACACACTCACACGCACACACCCCAGAATAAACCTGTACGCCCATCTGTCCATATCTCCAACTCTGTGAAAATGCCTGCGGTTTTAGAGGTTTTCAAAACCAAGACTGGGGAACCGAGGCCTCGGAGAACAGTCTATTCCGTCAGGAGAGAAAGTGAGTGGGAGGGAGTGGAAGCGTAACCGCTACGTTCTCTTGTCCTTGGTGGCAGGATGGCTCCCACGTACGGGGACCCCACTTTGTCGAGAGATGGCCCGCAGGTCGTGCACGGACCTCACCGTCCACTGAGAAAGCTCTTGCAGCACCTTCAGGCCCCACAGCTTCTTCTCAAAGAGCCCAGCCCCCCCAGGGAGGGGGGGCGGCCCGCCAGCCTCCCTGGGGGGCACCCGGCGCTCCAGCAGCGCCATCAGCTCTTCCAGCTGGTACGCGAAGGCCGCCACCTGCAGGAGGACGCTGTGTATCGCCTGGTGGAAGTCGTCTTCGGCTGGGGTGAAGTGCGCCCGCTGGTCTTCCAGCAGCCGGGCCAGCATCCCGTGGAAGGCGCGGTAGGCCTGGAGGTTCTCCTGCAGCCGCTCCGCCTCAGTCAGCTCGCTCCATCTGTCGGAGCTGGCCGTCGGCACGCCTTCCAGAGGGTCCAGGTTCACGTTCCCGTTCAGACCCTGATGCTTCATCTGGCCGAGGATACAGAGAAACGTCAGCCCTCCTGCAGTCACGCCACCGTCCTCACTTCATAAGTCACACAGTCTACTCACTTCCCTGGCCAAGGGTCCCGACTGTAAAGAAAATAATCTAGAAGAGGAATTCTTCCTTTGGGAAGACTGGCCTTAGGAAGACCCTAACTGTCCCAGAATTTATACACACCGCTTGGGCTATCTGTTCACTTTTCTTGCGAGAATCTGCAGCTTTTGCTAGGTTCCAAAGGCTGAAAACCACTGCCTGGTCTAGAATAGTTTTTCCTACCCACCTGACACTCCCTGCTGGCACCTAGAATTTTACAGTCATACTGGAGTTTAAGTATTGTAAATATACCTAAAGACACTGGCCATACCTAAGCAGCTCTAAAACACAGCCTCGACTGAACTGTTCTACCAGCCCTCTCCACTGTCCACTCGAACTGGTGAGGACATTTATTAGAAGTCAATAGCAATATATATATATATATATATATTTAATTTGTATTTGAAAGTCTGATTTCTGAATGCTGGAGCTTTAGGAAGATAAATCAACCCTCCAAGAACCTAAATTGCGAACCTTCCACGGGAGCCTGCAGTGTTCCCACAGCAGGCCCTAGGTAAAGACTGATAGGAATCCTCCTACAGAAAACATACCTAACTCCATGGTTAGCTCCTTAAGAATCGGACACTTTCCCAGTTCCCCAGGGATTCTTCCAGGAGACTTTTTTTTAATAGGTGACCTTTCTATTTAGACACACAAACACTTCTGACTGTATAGGGTCCTAATACTATAATAGGAAAAACTGGTTGGTTTATACTGTTCTTCACCCAGTTCTATACATCTCACTCAGACTTTTATTTACCTAGTTAAAAAAGTCAGAACACCATATATATATGAAGAACCCAAACATGGGAGGGCTCATGGTTCATCTACTCTGTCAGAATTCAGACAGATATTCAAATTAGGAACAGCCTCCAGAACATACAGGCAATTCTACCTAGAACCCCAAGTACACTTCCATATTTTAAAAACATGTTTCCTAAATAGCGTATAGAAAAAAAGGTCTTAGGACTTTTCTTTAGGGAAAGGGCCATGTCAAATGACAGGCGCCCAGTGTATAAAATGACTGCACGATTAGGGCTTTTGAACCAGTAACAGGGCAGAAATACGATGGTGAAGGGTGGGGTTAGAAGAGAAGTGAAAACAGACACCAGCAAGGTCGGCAACTTACGTAAGAGTCCACCAGAGCAGTCAGGTCTGAACGGATCTTCCGTGCTAGCCAGATGGAGCGGCTACACAGGTCCCGGCGGCGAGGGGGGAGCAGCGAATGCTCCGCAGAAGCCATCCCCTAACTCCGTGGCCGGGCCCAGCAAACGAGGGAGCTGGGTCTGTCTACACTGGTCCCAGTCAGAAATGTGCCTCTCGGGCCAAACGCACTGGGCATCTCTCCTAACGGGACTGTGCACCCCCACCCCAGCCTGACTCAGAGGTGGCAGCCAATTCCTGGCTGTGGATTTCTGCGCCTGTGGAATCAAAGGCCCCTTCTCAACCAGCTGCTCGTCCTGCGGTGCCTGCCTCCGTCCCGCTCCTCCGCAGTGCCTTGGGCACGTGTTTGCACGCCACTGCTTTGCTTCTGCACTTAGCAACGAGGTCGCTGTCACACTCACTCTCGGGACGCCCCTACCTAACGCGACCTATCTCACACACACGTACACCAGTTCATCTTGTCGCCACCCGCCCCGTGCTCCCCGGGCCCTTCTCTCTCTGCTTTGGCCTGGGATACAATGATACTGTTATAATGACTGATACGGCTGCCATTTGTTGAGCATCTACCCTGGGCCAGACACTGTTAACTGTTTCAAAGCCTTTATTTGATCTTTAGAATATTCTACAAGATAAATAGTTTTCTTCAATTTGTATATGAAATGCAGGCTTAAAGAAGTTACTTAATGTGCACAAAATCCAGTAACTAGGTTCAAAATTTAAATATAGGCCTTTGATTCTACAGCTGTTTCTCCCAGTGACTTTCCAATTTCATTCTTTGGGTGGTTCATATTCTGTTCAAGACACCAAGTTTACATGAGATAGATCCTGTAAAAATACAGCACTTGCCCCCACTCCCATCCTTTTGCTGTGTTTGAAACTGAATTTGCACTTGATTACAAGTCAGCTAAGAGGGCACCTCTATCATCTCAATCATGGTGCCTCCCTTGTAGCTTCCAGGATGAGGCAGGGACTGTTAGGGCCTGTTCTCTTTCAAAGCAGAGGAAACACCCAACCCTGACTTGGTAACATTTCTGAGGCAGTCTCTCTCAAGTGACAACAGGCTTCTCTCCTCCTTCCTTATCCCAGTCATACCACATTGCTTCTTAACAAAGAGAATGAGCTGGACTGCAAAGCAAAGGCAGAGTTTAAAAGTGCCTACAGCGTCGTTCTAGCGCATGTTAACTGTAGGTTCGAGGGTGATGCCAACTGGGTTAAGAGTCGCATGTTTCATCCCCAGATGAATCAAGCAGCTCTCACTATTTTATCACAGACACTACCTGTGAACTGAAACCCATGCCTTCTCAGGGCAAAATTCCCACAATGATCCAGGGACGCAGGGGTGAAGAAATGGGCAGGGGTGGCTGACACAGCAGGCCTTTAAGGAAGGCAGCAGGAGTCTATCTTTTTTTTAAACTCTCTACTTTCATGGACATTGAGTTTTGTGAAGAAGCACCAATATTAAATGCTATCAGGGTTTTGTCATTATCAGAGTGAAATTAACCCCATAGCTTCCGTTAGTACATTAAGATGGCCACCCTTTCCAGATCGTCGAGACATGGAAAAGATTTCCAACTCTGTCAAATGATCAGAATGGCATCTCAGTATTAGAAATCAAGAACTAAAGAGAGTCAAAAGTTAACTACCTGATTCTCAACAAGTGCAAACACCAGTTTCTGCCACATAAAGCTGCTCTGAGGGCACCTGGTTTTCTCACCGAGCAGCATCCATCATTTCACCCCAGCGTAACTATAACTCAGTACAACCAAGGAAGACCAGTTGCTTCCATGAAGACAATTTTTATTTTCCTTCTTTACATTTTATTTTGGATATGCCTTAGCTAGATTAAGAGAAAACAAGGATTTGAAAAGCAGAGTATCCCTTTTATTATAATTTCTTTTTACATAACCTTTTCGACCTAGATTCAGGTAACTACCTGTCTCTCTCCCATCAAAGGAGAAGGGTCCTGCATATTACAACAGGCAAAAAAGGCTTTTAGGAAATAAAATATTTTAAATTGATTCATTACAATTTTTCAATTTTCTTGAGTACATTGGAAGGTGGGAAAAAGGCAGGAGGGAAAGATGGTGCTTCAAACAGCCTGACCATAATAACCTTAGTGAGGTTTAGTACACTCTATATTTTTTCTCCAAACAGGTTCTAAGGAGGTTCAAGTGCTCTATGTGGGTGCTTTTCCATATCTATTTTTTTACTCCCAGTCATCCTGGCCAGTGTTTATCTAAATTCTCTGAAACATATTAAGTCTCAGTTATGCAAAATAACCCCGGGCTACCACAGGCAAGGGGAAAGCACGCCTTGGAGAAACAACGCCTGTTTTCAGAATCCAGAACCGCCCAATAAAAATGGAGAACGTGCTGTGGGAAAAAGGTATTAAAATGTAGCAGAATTTGATTAAGAGTAGGAAATGGAGAATGTTAAGACTGAGTTCCTTAGAAGGACAGTGATGTAGATATCTGAGGAGCAGAAAGTTAAAGGGAAGAGAAACTAGTGACAGTTTACTTAAAATACCTCTTTCCTTTGCTGGCATCCCTCTCTCAAAAGGGGGAAAAAAAAACTAAATCCATGAAAAATACCTGAAAATTCACCGCAATCTGCTACAATAATTTACTGAAGCAAATTACAGGCAAATGGTAGCTATGAAGAGTGAAAGGGGAGCTTCAAATCATGAGGACTGATGAGTTGCTTTTGGTGGGGAGGAGTGTGATCAAGGGAAGAAAATATTTTCTCTCTGTCTTCAAGTTTTCTTTTAAAAATGCAGCTTGCTTTTGTGTAGGTGGCTAAAACATTCGATGACTAACTGCTGCAAATGTAATTCATGGAGAACAAGGATAAGATAAACGTGACAATGACAAGAAGTGGCAGGTATAGACGCCTGCTAGTGAACCAATGGACTTATATGGGAAAAGAACTTCGTTGTAGACCCATCCGATTAATCTTACAGTAGTCTCACATCTACTCAACACACCAAAGTCAACTCCAAGTCCTCAGTGTGGCCAGGAAAGGACATTCATATTCCTCCCATCCTTACTCCTCTCTCTGCCCCGCCCTGGAGGCGACTGCAAAGCCTCCACAGGGAACACAAACCTAAGACTCTCACTGCAGACGCGTCCCTCCGTACCCCCTGGCATTCCAACACTCACACCAGTGGGTGGAGAGCAAGCCTCTTTCAGAGATGACATTTTGTTACCCTTCTTTTGGGGGGCGGGGGGGATGAGAGAGAAAACTGATAAACTTTGTAGTTTTAGTGTTTGTGAAAAACAAGCTGTTCCTTATTCTGTTCTCAGCAAAGCTCCATTCTTTCCAACAGCTGTTATGCATTTCTAACAAACAATGAACAGGGCAAGCCTTTAATTCCAGTTTCTGAGGTATGTAGGATAGAAACTGCCCTTCCGGTTCTCTAAAAATGAGCCTACGTAGGTTTTCAGTCTTCTGGAAGTTGTGAAGCTGTCCACGACTGTCATCTTCCATGGACGGCGGTCAGCGACCCAGCCCATGAAAATCCCTTAAGGGCAATAGTGACTCCTGGAATTGCAGGTGAAAGCCAAGGCATCGTACAGGCTATTAACTGCGCTGAAGACTTTCTTCTTCTGAAGTGTTATTACAAGGGAAGCAGAACAGAACCATCTCCTGTGACTTAAAACCATCTGCCTCAGACGGTTCCTTCTCTGACGGCAGTGCCCTTCACCAGCTGGGAACTGGGACGAACCCGTGATGAAACAAAGCGAAGACAAAGGGGCCGGAGCCGGGCCACAGGCCGTGCGGACAGAGAAATGACGGGGACAAAAAGGAAATGAAGACTTCTCAAGAGAAAACCTCGCATCTGTAGTTCAGACCCTGAATAACCTCCTTCATCCCCTCAAAATTCCTGAACCGCGATGCTCTGCAAGCTCAAGCAGCGCTGGTTACGACACCCCCACCGTCCTTTCCTGAAGAGGCTTCCAGAAAAGCCCTGTAGTGCTTCTGTTGGTGCTGAGGACCAGCTCTGTGGCAAGGCCACTGGAGCGCTGTGACCTCAGGGGCTGGCTGAGCTTCTGCAACCCTCTAGCTTGCCTTCTACGAGTACCTCTGATGCAAAGGACCCCACGTCAAAATAGCGTAATCTTGCCCAGCCCCACAAAATATAGCAACAGAGACAAAAAAAAAAAAAATCTGACTTTCCGTTAATAAATAAGGAATCTCAGGTTCCACAACACAAAAACACACATGTTCAAAGTGCAAATTCTGTCACCAGTCTGGGGCTTCTCACCAATGGAGCCCTGTCTATGGTCAGAGACCACGTGGCTAGCGGCCCCTCCTGGCCGGGAGCCTGCTTGCAAACGAGTGAGCACCACTGAGAACCTTACGGAGGAGCTGGGGGCGGGCGAGGAAGGCGGAGAAGGTCAAGAGGAGGGAGGTGGTCCCCACGCAGCCTGCCTGACTTCCTTCACCCAGAGGGAGTGGAGGGAGAGGGGGTGAGATGTGTGCTGTTTTAACAGCTCACGCTGCTCAGGGGCCCTAAAGTGCCAAGTCAAGCTGCCAGCCTCCAGAGATTAGAAGTATATGATCCTTGGAAGATACATGTGCTACAAGGGTAGAAGCCAGAACCACGGGGCAGCGGGAAAGGAGAAGGGGTTGAGAGGATATCAGTATATTATTAAGAGTTAAAAGCTGATCCAGAGCACGTCCAAGTTGCAGGGAGAAAGGGGCAGGGTGTCTGCTGATGAGCAGGAAGTCTGCCTGGCTGGAAATGAGTTTAAAAAGAACCCTTCCTTTAAGAGCTGCTGCAGCGGCTTCTTTGTCAAGCTTTCTGGGAAAGGCAATGCCAATTTTATAAAGGGGACGACAGAGGGAGAAGAGGGGATGTGTGTGTGTGTATGGGTGTGTGTGTGTGTGTGTGTGCTGTGACCCAATGGAAAGAGCAGGCCCTTCAGTTATTTCACTAGATTTTTAAATGCTTTAAATTTTTTTTTTGTCCTTTTTGTCTTTTAAATACAAAGTCTGAGCCGTCCCAGCGCCCGGTCCGCCCCTGGCTACGGCCCCGCAGAGTCCGAGTCCTCGATCAGGACCTCTGCGGTAGCACCGAGGATGTCCGAGTTCATGACCAGCCCGTCCGCGCCCGCGCCGCCCCCGCCGCCCACGAAGAGCTTGCCGTCGGCCACCAGGCTCACCCGTTCGGGCCCACCGCAGAAGGACTTGGATACGCCCTCGGCTTCCAGCAGCAGGCACTCTCCGGGGGCGGGGGTACCCAGGGGCTCGGGAAGCAGTGGCAGGCCCTGGCCATCGGCGGGCGGGCTCAGGGCCTCGGGGTTGGTGCCCAGGATGTCTGTGCTGGTGATGAGCGCGCCGGCGTTGGCGGCCAGGGCCTCGGCGATCAGCACCTCAGGGTGGCTCTTCGCTTTGTGCGCCACCACGCTGTCCTTCTTCTCAAACTTTTTGCCGCAGATATTGCAAGAAAATTGGTAGAAGGAGTCTGCATCGTGTTTCTTCATGTGCCAATTAAGGGATGCCTTTTGCCGACAAGTAAATCCACAGATCTCGCATCTAAGGAGAGAGAGAAAGGAAACAGCTGATCAAAGACAGAAAGGAAGTGCCCTCTTACCTAGGGCCAGGGCCGCACTTACAAACGACTCAGTCATCAAATCAGGTCCCTGGGCGCTAGCCCCACCAGTCATGCCCGCCCTCACACTGGGGAAAAGCCACGGTTCTCGAGCTGGAGCGCCAAGAGAGGGGCTGGGCCTCCAGCGGGGCGCGGGCCCACCTCTCCCGGGTGCCCCAGGAATGAGCACTCACTGGAGTGGCTTCTCGCCGGTGTGAATCATCCGATGCACTGCCAGGTTGTGGGAACTCTTGAAGGCTCGAGCACAATATTCACAGATATAATCTCTTTGATCTAAGAAAAATATGTGATTAGTTGGTGTTCCATTTGGATCCCTCTTTAAGTATTTTTTCCTAGCTTACAAAAAGCAAGCAGATAATCAGGCAGGTGAATTTAGAGTAAAAGCAATGTAGAATATAAGCACTCTGGATGACCGAAACTTAAAAATAAACAGCACAAGGGAATTCCCTGGCAGTCCAGTGGTTTAGGACTCCACAGTTTCTTGGCCAAGAGCAGTTCCTGGTGGAGCAACTAAAATCCCGCACAGACTGCAGAGCACACCCAGAAAAGCAAAGTGTCATTTTCATCTTTTGTTTTTCCGTCTAGTCATTAACATAAGAACCTGTTTACATTAACAAAAATAAAAAACACAGCTAGAGAGAAATATGAGAACTGGAATCCTAATCTCAGCTTTACCAGTAAGTCAGATGCAGGATAAATTGCTTAACAAGTAAACAATTATATTTCTCATAGCGTTTATTCTTGAAACAGCTTTCTCACAGACTGTGAAAGCTGAACGGTTACATAGGAAGAAGCTGGCGTTCAACCAACATTAAAAAAGAATGTGACGTCACCTAAAGAAAACTGATCCATATACAAAGTGGTACTCATATCTTGTTTCAGGTTTCAAAAAAAAAAGTTACCCAAGATAAACAATTTAAACTTCTCTCAAAAAGTCCTACGGGGCAAAGGAGCCCTGGACTTATTTTCTTCCTCACCAACTGGACCAACAGATGCTCAATGTATACTTGTTGAACAAATGGCCACTACACTCTTTGTATGCCTTTCACTTAAAAGACGAATGGATGAGGAAGCTGTGGTACATATACACCATGGAATATTACTCAGCCATTAAAAAGAATTCATTTGAATCAGTTTTTCAATGTATGACAAAAACTACTGTAATGATGTAATTAGCCTCCAACTAATAAAGATAAATGGAAAAAAAAATAAAGATATATGATTAATGATGAAAAAAAAAAATGACTAGAAACACAGTGAAGACACAAGAAGAAACAACACCCAATGTAATGCTACCCTCCATCCCAAACCGTTCTAAAAGCAAGTGTGGGAGAAGAGCCATGTCTCTCCCACCTGAATGCACGGCAGCACCTGGGGGCCCTAGGAGACCTGGAGGCGGACGCAGGTCTAGGCGGGGCCTGAGACGCGCCACCTCTAGCAGGGAGCTCATGACGCCAGGCCTGTCCGTCTGCATTCCTCATGAACAGTACGGTCTGAAAGGCACACTCCTAACCCAGGGACAAGGCTTACCATCCCTCAGGTCTGGGCCACATTCCCAGCTCCATGGGAGCATGACGGACACATGTGAAGCGTTTCACATACTTAAGGAAATTGTATTTTCAAAGGACGCCAATTCACACTCATTTGGAAAAGTAAAACTCTCTAACACTGACATCATAAAATTCTATTAACTAAATACAAGTATTTGGAATGGACTTAATTTCTAAAACAGCGTTTGTCATAGTTGGCTTATAAAATCTACCTAAAGTAGTCTAAACTGGTTGTAGAATGAGGCAGTGTAACAGGGAGAAGCAGCAGAGAAACAGCAGCTCCTTTAGAGAAACAGTGGAAATGGCATTCTCCCTGAAGAAACACAGCGGAATGCGGACTGCAGCCTGTGGAGTGAGCAGACCTCAGGGTGAAGCCCAGCGCTGAGGCTACGGGGCGCCTGGCTCTCTGCAGGACACAACATGTGACACATGACCGCAGTCCATCCGGGTAATGGCGTCACTGGTGTCATCACTAACCTTGCCCAGCCCAATCTGTCCCCATTAGCTGCACTGTGCCAACTGTCACGCGGCTGAAAATGGACGCTGTCTGAACTCACTCAACAACAGGTATCACAAAGGCATTCAATTTCTCTTTTCCAGTCAACAGCTCCTACTGTAGAGGTTATGTGCGTGCAAAGTCTCTCCATGACCCCACGGGCTGCAGTCTGCCAGGATCCTCCTTCCGTGAGATTTTCCAAGCAAGAACACTGCAGTGGGCTGCCAGTGCCTGCTCCAGGGAATCTCCCAGACCCTGATACTGAGCCCGAGTCTCCCGTGCTGCGCCACCTGGGAAGCCCCACAGGTTATATGTGGGCTCGACAGCTAGCCTTTGTGCCTCCAACAGCAGCACAAGTCCCGGGAGACTTCTGGCAGGCAATGAAAACTGTGAGCGAGCCTCCTCACCATCAAGGCTCCTCTACACACTCCTCATCGCCAGTCCAGGCAGCTACTACAAGTGTCATCTAGTTCAAGCAGAGTTAGAAACCACCCCCAAAATTATTATTGTTTTCTGCTGAAAACTAGCTGAATAACCACTGGCAAGTTACCTAATGTTGCTCAGCCTCTGGTTTCTTGGCTGTAAAACAAAGAGCACTAGAAACAAACTTGGTATGACAGATGGGTAGGTTAGAAAAAATGGTTGCCAAATTACACATTCAACAGTGCATTTAGCTACTTGATAAACATTTTAATAAAGCACCTGTATGATGTTTGGCATGTCGAAGAAGTTGCTTCTGGAGCCTGAAGAGTCGTCCACAGGACGGATGGGGACAGACATATTTCTTCTTCAGCAAATGCTGGTATTTAATGTGGTGCTAAAGTGGTAAAACAAAGTGAAAAGATAAAAATGAGGGCTTCCAGAAAGCTAAGCTCATTCCTCTGCAAAGTCAAAAGTACTGAAGGAAAACCAAATCCTCTGTATGTCAACAGGGAGCACCGCCATAAAGTGCTTAAGCTCCTGGCTCTGTCGCTCGCAAGCAGTGTGATCCTGGAAGACACACTTCAACACTGCGAGCTTCAGTTCTCATCTGTAAAATGGAGATGATGCCAACTGTGTCATACTGCTGTGGGAATAGAGATCGTGTATTGTACAGTGCTTAGTGTAGCAAATGGTACATGACCAAAGAATCATAGCCATCATTATTATAACAGAACCAGAATCAGGGCCTAAGGCCTTAGTCATATGTTATACTTGCTGCTAAAGATCAAACACTAGCTTTAGTAATTAATATTTCATGTCTTCTGCCAGACCTAAAAACAAGCTGTATCCTTTTTCATTAAAAAAAAAAAAAAAAAATCTACTCACTTAAAAACCTCAAACTAAAAATTTATTCAAAATAGTAATCAAGAAATCATAGGTTTTGGTTGTTAACATTATTGTTTAATAATCGCTAAAAACAAAACCTTTTTAACTATGTCTTGGTGTGTTATCACACAATCATCTATTATATCAGATGCATTTACACCATGAGAAACACTGGAATATCCCAAGATTCCAAGGAAACATTTACGTTCAGGTTCTTAATCACTTAAAACACCAAGAGCCCAACTGAAGTAACTGGATGTTTAAGAAATGACTGTCGTTGAGATTAGACATGTGGTGATGAACCCTCCGCCAGCTCAAACCAGGAAGCCTCAGCAAGCCCGCGCCCCCGCGCCCCCGGAAGCCCGCTGACCTGCAGGTAGCGCGGGTGGGCGAGCACGGTGCCGCAGCCTTCCATCTCACAGCGGACGTACTGGATGGGGGGCTTCTTTCTAGCGACAACACGGAGAGAGGAGTCAGCAGCAGGGAGGCGGCGTGCACACCGGCCTAACTGCAGCTGCACCATAGGGAGAGCTATTCGGTAGCATGAAGAATTAAAACGCTTTTTTACTAGTTTATGGCTTGCACAGAATTTATGTTAGAAATAACCAGAAACTGCCAAATGTTTAGTTTTTTTAAAAGAGCACAAAATAAACCAGTAACCCCCCAAAGGCAAAGAAGTGTTAAACTTTTTAGAAATTTTAAGATCCTGCAATGGAAATTAAAACACAGTAGCTCTGCATCAAGGCCACCAAAGGAACTCCCTTTGTGCAACTCTTAACTCATCATTCCCACAGGATAATCCTAAGGGCTTAACGTCTAAGTGAAGGGCCCACCACCAGAAAGAAAGTCAACCCTGCATGACTGAAAATCACTCACCTCCTTTTGGGTAATCGTGGGCTTTTGTCATCTTTTCGCCTTCTTCCTCTCCTGTAATTAAAGAACAGAGTTAACTGTCCACACAGTCGAGACTGAAGCTTATACGGTAAAGATTAACTGAGGACATACACTCAAGACCAAAAAGCTGGTGGCAGAAACGACGGGTAACCCAGAATACATAAAGCCAAAGACAAATCCGGCAAAACCACAGATTTCACTCTGAAGTAACTTTACTCATAAATAAGACCGCACCACAAGTTAACTGAAAAAGTAGAAGAAATTAGTCTATTATCTAAAAGCCATAAGAATATAAAGGATACATTCTCCTTGTAACAGAGACAAAAGCCTACACACTTAAAAAAAGCTCTCTCTGCAACAGAACTGCTAGGCATGAGCTTTTACCTGATCAAAGTCATTACATCATGTGCCTTATTTGCCATATTTTTTTTTTTTGCTATTTTTACTCTCCTCTCTGCATCCCTACAGCCATTGTCCTACCATACTCAATGGAACATCTTTAAGTACTGCTGTGAATGAAACTTTTCAAGCTTTTGAGAGAAGTCTTTCCAATCAAACTGTCAGCTGCTGGAGACAACAATATATACCTGTCAACATCTCTCCTCACACTCCTACCCTTTTTTCCACTAGTGACTTGAAAATCTGTTAAGCTTCCATTTCCGGTAGTAACTGCCTACTCACTTCCTAGGAGGCTCCTCGTCGTCCCTAATTTCATTCTCTTCTTCTTTCACCTCCACCTCGACTTCCACTTTTATTTCTTTCTTCTCTTTCTCTTCTTTCACCTTCCCTGATTTTCTCCGTGGCTTTGGGGTTTCCCTGAAAATACAAACACATTTCAACACTGGTATCCAGCAAAGGACCTTTTCAAGAACACCTGTGACAGAAGGGTAAAGCCTGGAGCTATCGCTGATTTATTATAAAATTATGCTCCTCAGTACACGAAATGTGGTTTTCAGCCACTATTCGTCATACGGACAGTAACCATACACATATTTAAAGCCAATGAGATGACCCCCAGCCCCAAGCTAACAAAGCCTTAGAATCAAATCTCACTATAGATGTAAAGAAAAACAAAAGTAAAAAATTCTAACATCTTAAAACAGGCAGATGTCATAATAATTTGGATTATGAGCAACACAAAGTTCTATAAATGGAAGAGCGTGCTGTAGCAGGGAGCAATAGGATAATGCTAGCTTTGTAAAACAAGTGCAAAATTACTCCTTTAAAAATTAAGTCCATATCCATTAGTTTGGCAACAAGGTGAAATAAAAACATGCCAAAATGTTTTCCTAACTTAGTTTTCACCACCAAACCCGAGACATGCCTTTCTAAGTGGGGTTTGTAGGTCTCATCTCTTGGATCATCTTTGAATGGTATTTCTTCTTCACTGATCAACATCTCTTCTTCCTCTTCCTCTTCTTCATCACTGCTGGAAAGAAGCCAACAGAGATTAGAAATCCCAGCTGTTATAAATCATATCTGACTGATTTTATTCAGCAGTTTACCTAGACACAGCCAAAGATTCACAGCGTTATCTAGGATCTTCATTCTCTAATAATCTAGCTGGACTGCAACCTAGCTGCTTTCCCCCAAAGAATAATAACTGGAACTAAAAACACAAAAATCCTAGATATGCTCTAATTTCATTAAACAAAGGCAAGGCAAAGATGGCTCAGTGACACTAAGAGTTAAAAAACAACTGACTCAGGTATTTCAGGTAGAAAACCTGAGTCATGTGACCTGACTGGTCTTCACCCCCTTTGCACCCCAAGGGTTGAGACTATGAGACATTGCAAGGGTTCTTACCTAACGCCTGCTGGAGACTGATGCTCTTCTGCGGCATCTAGGAAAGGTATGAGACAGAACTTTTGGTATGAAGGTATAGATATTTTCTCTCTGCAGCCAAGAGACTCAAACCAAAATACAGTTTAGAGTCATTACACAAATGGAGAATTCTCCGTAAACTATCAGAAAGGATCCTCCCTATAACACGACGCGTGACCCCAAAAGTCGGGCCGTTCTGGTAAATGTTCAAGATCACACAGAAATCAACAGGCAACTGGGACTGAGTAATCAGACTCTACTGGCACTGTACCACAATCGAGCTGATCTGTGTTTGGCTCCGACTTGCAGATGAGCTGCAGTGAACCAGTCTTGGACCGAGAGCTGCGGGTGTTCTCCGCTTCGCGATGCCGAGAGACGGACGTGCGGCTGCTGCCGCGCCAGCCCCGACTAGGCCGAGCTGCTGCGGCGGGAGCTTCCTGAGCAAGGGCAGACTCTTCCTCCTCTTTCTCTTCCTTGGGATCTAAAGGAAAACACAAACCATTCTCTTAGAGTTTACAGTTGACCAATAATCATCTCTGTGTATCTCTAAAGATAATATCCACCCCTACCACCCGGGGACAGAATTTTACTGACATAATAGAAGCAAGATGAGGGGAAAATCTGATAAAAACTTATCCTTACTGTAATCAGTCTAAAGAAACAGCTTTGTAGGTTGCAAAGCAGCAATTTTATATTTATAGTTTACATATATACTAAAAAATGAAATGCTAAGAGAAATATACCTAAGATCTAACCTTTTATTCTTTAACCGTTAGATCTAAGACAGAAGAGAGTGGCCGCCAAAAGATGACCATATCTACAGAGGCATGAGCAAGAAAGAAGCATACAGTTCTAGACAATTTAATAATTGAACAATGCTGCAAGTAAGTGCTGTTGCAAGTAAGAGCAATTCCATCAAGAGAAATTCCCCTGCCTTCCCTTGCATCTATTCAGTTTTACTTAGTATATTAAAAGTGAGTCTATTTGACCATGGAAGATCCTTTCAATAATCTCAGACTGGAAAAGTCCTTTCTAAGAACAGCACAGGATTTTAGGTCTTAAAACTAATACATCCACCTGTATAAACCTAAAAAGGTTTTGACATGGCAAATTCCGCTATAAACAAAGTCTAACAGCCTAACAGAAAGACAGCAACTCAATAAAAATGGTTTTCAAACGTGCAAACAAAATGTGTGAACAAACAATAACAATGACAACAAAGCTCAATCCACTCAGAACAAGAGAGACTCCAATGAAACCAACAGTGCCATAGTAGTGTTCCCTTAGAATACTGGCAACAATCCAAACATCTGCCAACACACTGCACTGGCAAGGTTGTGGGAAAACAGGAACACTGGACAGAGATTAACTGTGTGCATTAGTAAAACCTTTCTATAATGGACAATTTGGCAATATCTATCAAAACTTTAAGTACATATGCAGTTCAGTCGCTCAGTCGTCTCTGACTCTTTGGAACCCCATGGACTGCAGCATGCCAGGCCTCCCTGTCCATCACCAACTCCCGGAGTCCACCCAAATCCATGTCCATTGTGTCGGTGATGCCATCAAACCATTTCATCCTCTGTCGTCCCCTTCTCCTCCTGCCCTCAATCTTTCCCAGCATTAGGGTCTTTTCACATGAGTCAGCTCGCCACATCATGTGGCCAAAGTATTGGAGTTTCAGCTTCAACATCAGTCCCTTCAATGAACACGCAACACTAATCTCCTTTAGGATGGACTGGCTGGATCTCCTTGCATTCCAAGGGACTCTCAAGAGTCTTCTCCAAAACCACAGTTCAAAAGCATCAGTTCTTTGGCACTCAGCTTTCTTTATAGTCCAACTCTCATATCCATACATGACAACTGGATAAACCATAGCCTTGACTAGACAGACCTTTGCCGACAAAGTAATGTCTCTGCTTTTTAATATGCTGTCTAAGTTGGTCATTACTATGCTTCCAAGGAATAAGCATCTTTTCCTTTCATGGTTGCAATCACCATCTACAGTGATTCTGGAGCCCAGAAAAAGTCAGTCACTGTTTCCCCATCTATTTGCCATGAAGTAATGGGACTGGATGACATGATATCAGTTTTCTGAATGTTGAGCTTTAAGCCAACTCTCTTCTTTCACTTTGATCAAGAGGCTCTTTAGTTCTTCTTCACTTTCTGCCATAACGGTGGTGTCATCTGCATATCTCAGGTTATTGATATTTCTCCTGGTAATTTTGATTCCAGCTTGTGCTTCCTCCAGCCCATCGTTTCTCATGATGTACTCTGCATATAAGTTAAATAAGCAGGGTGACAATATACAGCCTTGACGTACTCCTTTTCCTATTTGGAACCAATCTGTTGTTCCATGTCCAGTTCTAACCGTTGCTTCCTGACCTGTATACAGTTTTCTCAAGAGGCAGGTCAGGTGGTCTGGTATTCCTATCTCTTTCAGAATTTTCCAGTTTATTACGATCCACACAGTCAAAGGCTTTGGCATAGTCTTTTTCACATTAAATTCAACTACTAGGAATTTATCCTACAAAACTAAGATCACACTTATAAAACCCACATCCATAAAATGTCTAAATATTATATGTGTGTGTATACACATAGTATAAGTCTACCTATCTACATATCAATCTATATATATCACAACACTTCTGTACAGATTATAAGAAACATAAATACTGGCCCCACTTCAAAGTATCTACCCTCTGAAAGAAACTGGCACACAGAGGTTCACTATGGCCCATGTTTAAAATACTTTAAAAATGGAAACGATGTAACTTTCCATATTTAGGCGAAAGTGTTTATTTAAAAAGATAGGAGAAATTAGCTTCCTTTACTGCAGAACAAGGTGATGACTGGGAGTTGTTCTGGTTTTAACTACACTGGTTTGAAAGTTTTAATGAGACCATATCAAAGTAATGAAATAAAATTCATTTGAAATGCAGAGATGAATAGCAGTGGGAACTTCAACTTGTTCAAGATCACAAAATTATCTAAGTAGACCTCAAATTAAAAATCCTGTCTTGAGCTAGTAATCAAGGACTTTTACATCTAGGTCACCACTGCTTTTAAGAAAATTTCTTCAAAGGGAGAAACTCAACACCCTTTATAAAGTACTGCAACATTAAATAATAAAGGGAAAATTATTTCTTTTATTCAACCTAGCTACACTAATGTGCTTGAAACCTATTCCATAAACTCCTATACTCAATAAAGCTCTTCTCTACTTCATTATTAAAGAATGTGCCCACATCTTGTCATATTGGTGATACTATCCACGGGACAAACGCTGGCTATTTGATGAGAATTGCTTATCCTTACAAATAAAGCACACCAGCCTGTTTTATTGAGTAACCCACACATCACCTAAAACTCTGTAACGTTTTTTAAAAAAACATTGTCAAGAGAGTGACAATAGCAAAAGTGTCCCTCATCAGGAATGTAGACACACCACCTGCCAGAATCAGCTCTGTAAGAACCCTGTGATACAGTCACAGGTTTACAGCAACCAAGCAAAGCCCGAAGTAAGAAAAAGTTACACAAGCCAGGTGAGGAAATCTGTCAGACCATGAGCTGAGCACAGGCTTAAGGAAACAGCTTGAAGACAGACCACATAAGACAAAGAACATGATTTTTCAAAATATGCTCAAACAGCTAAAGGAAATCTCAAAAAAAAGATAGCAATTATATAAAAGGAATCAAATTCTGGAGCTAAAAAAGTGTAATATCTGAAATGAAAAGTTCATTAGAAGGTTTCATTAAACAGCAGGCTTGAGAAAGGAGACATACCAACAAACTCAGATAGGTCAACTGTGAGCATCCACTCTGAAGAACAAAGAGATGAAGAAAAAGCAACAGAGACTAAGAGCTCAGTGGGGACCATAAAACCCATCACCATGCAAAGGCCCAAAGGAGAGCACAGACCAGAGCGGAAAGAGCCTGTTCAGTTCAGTCACTAGTCACGTCCTACTACTTGTGACCCCATGGACCACAGCACGCCAAGCCTCCCTGTCCATCACTGGAGTTCACTCAAACACATCCATGGCATCAGTGATGCCATACAACCATCTCATCCTCTGTCGTCCTCTTCTCCTCCTGCTTCAATCTTCCCCAGTATCAGGGTCTTTTCCGATGAGTTAGTTCTTCACATCAGGTGGCCAAAGTACTGCAGATTCAGCTCCAACATCAGTCCTTCCAATGAATATTCAGCACTGATTTCCCAGGACTGACTGGCTTGATCTCCTTGCAGTCCAAGGGCCTCTCAAGAGTCTTCTCCAACNAGAAGGAAATGGCAACCCACTCCAGTATTCTTGCCTGGAAAAGTCCATGGACAGAGGAGCCTGGAGGGCTGCAGTCTGTGGGGTTACATGACTGAGCATGTGTGCACGAGGGTGGAGGAAGATGGGTTGGTAGCAATAAAGCGGTAGAACTAAAAAAAAGCATTTCCACAGTTTGTTGTGGCCCACACAGTCAGAGGCTTTGGCGTAGTCAATAAAACAAGATGTTCTTCTGGAAGTCTCTTGCTTTTTCTATGATCCAACGGATGCTGGCAATCTGATCTGCTTCCTCTGCCTTTTCTAAATCCAGCTTGAGCATCTGGAAGTTCTCGGTTGACATACTGCTGAAGCCTCGCTCAGAGAATTTTGAGCATTACTTTGCTTATGCGTGAGAGGAGTGCAACTGTGCAGCAGTTTGAGCATTCTTTGGCATTGCACTGGAATGGAAACTGACCTTTTCCCGTCCTATGGCCACTGGTGAGTTTTCCAACTTTGCTGGCATATTGAGTGCAACACTTTAACAGCGTCATCTTCTAGGATTTTAAATAACTCAGCTGGAATACCATCACCTCCACCAGCTTTGTTCACAGTGATGCCTGCTTGATTTTGCATTCTAGGATGCCTGGCTCTAGGTGAGTAATCCCACCATCATGGTTGTCTGGGTCATTAAGATCTTTTTTGTATCATTTTTCTGTGTATTCTTGCCACCTCCTCTTAATATCTTCTGCTTCTTTAGGTCCATACGGTCTCTGTCCTTTATTGAGCCCAGCTTTGCATGAAATGTTCCCTTGGTAACTCCCATTTTATTGAAGAGATCTCTAGTGTTTCCCATTCTATTGTTTCCCTCTATTCTTTGCATTGGTCACTTAGGAAGGTTTTCTTATCTCTCCTTGGTATTCTTTGGAACTCTGCATTCAGATGGGTGTATCTTTCCTTTTCTCCTTTGCCTTTTGTTTCTCTTTTTTCCTCAGCTATTTGTAAGGTCTCCTCAGACAGCCTTTTTTGGATTTCTTTTTCTTGGGGATGGTCTTGATCACCACCTCTTTTAATTTCACAAACCTCCATCCACAGTTCTTCAGGCACTCTGTCTATCAGATCTAATCCCTTGAATTTTATTTCTCACTTCCACTGTGTAACTCTAAGGGATTTGATTTGGGTCATACCTGAATGGTCTAGTGGTTTTCCCTACTTTCTTCAATTTAAG